TGAAAACCTTGATGTGTGCGCCAGATACATTACATGGGCCCTCATCTTAATGCAATGCTTAAAAGGATTGTCTTCCTGTTGCATTACCCTTGAGCCTTGAAAAGTGAATAAACACTGACATGACAGGGACATTCAAGCCATGACCTAGCGTTTATCCAAAGCAGCCTTCATACACCCACGTTCAATGCCAAGTTTTAACCACACATTTTGGGAAACTACTTTATATTGCGTTGCCACAGATCCCACAAAAATACAAACCTACAAGTGAGACGACTGCAGCCTTCTTGTGAGGGCAAATGTTGATTTAGGGCAAAGCAGGCCACCAGCTGGGGCCCAAATGAGGAGACCAGGACCCCTTTTGTTTGGATCCCAAGGCACAGACAAGCATGGACATTTACTGTGATCCACGCTTTCTCTTTTGTGAAAATTATCTTAGACAATGGAGGGATTTCTGAAAATGTTTAGTATAAAAAAAGGACTATTGATTTTATTTTGTGGAGAGAAATCCTCTTAGAGACACACCCCAGACCAATGACACATTTGGAAGCGCTAACCTATAATGAAGTGCAGGGACGATCCTTTTCACTGTGGTTCTTGGCCTAAAATTAGTCCCAATCATTTTTATTGTGGTACTTAAACCCCACCACTCAGTTTTAGTCCAAGCAAAGATGTTCTGAAACTAGGCAGGTTTATTCCTTACCTTTCTACAGAATCACCAGTCAAACCATTTTAAACAACATTGTGCCCATTACAAGCGTTTGAACCAGGACCTAAACTGGTACTATATTACCAGATTAGATTAGATTAGATTGAACGGGGTAGATTGTGTGGTCTCTGGATTAATTGTTGAAGCGTGTGTGTGTTTTTGACTAGACCCATCACCAGTCCACAGCCTGCAGGGATTATCACAGCAGCCAAGGTCTCATTTCCTGCCATAGGAGGGGGCGAAGGATACGGAGGGTGTCACAGCTGAACCAGAGCCAAATATAACAGGGGGCTGCCAGTTGTTCTCCATTTTGATAAAATGCCACAGAAAATACCATTCTGATAAGAGGTTAGAGGAGACATGATGAGGGCTTTATTGCGTTTCAACAGCGACTACATTTTGGACAACATGGAGGCTTTTGCTCTATATTAAAATCAAAGACGAGGAAAAAGCAGAAAGCCAATATTATGGATGGTGCTTCAGAACCAATCAACGCCGTTTTGTTTTCATGAAACCAATTGAGTGTGCCGCTATTGCGATAAAGAGTTACATTGTTTACAACCACAGCCAAATCTTTGCCCAACTTTGAAATTACTCAATGAAAATGTGTCTAATATTTCATTTTAATCTTTCGTAATACGAGTTTGCTTCCAGAATAGACAGAGGCCCCACCCACATTTTCTGCAAAGAGTCTCCTTACATAACTTTATTTGTTACAAGCTTGTGACTGATAAACTATTTTGCCTTCTAGTTATCTCAATATTTTATATAAATGTTTGTCTGACTGTTAAGTATTCAGGCTCTTTCACACCAAATCCCCCATGAACACGCACTGCCAGATGCCAGGATTAGCATTAGCGTGCATAGATAATTCACTATCTCGTTATCTTCTTGAAATTTGACTCTTGCTGAGCAAAGAAAACAAGCTTTCCACACGCACACAATTAACAGCCAAACCGACGGAATCTAAGAGGCTTTCAAATTCTCCGTCACTCTTCTCTGATAAGGCACTCAGGAGTTGGCTTTAGTGGTTACTTACAATGGTGGCTAACAGGATGTGGCCAATTTTGCTAACAAACCATTTCAATGCTCCTCAGGACATTGAGCCTGAGGAGCCATTGGGCTCCAGCTAACTGGACAGTAATGGCATCTGTGCATAGGATATGAAGGTTGTTCTAAAGTCTATGGCAGCTTGTGTCTGAGTGATGGTAGTAAAGAGGGGAAATGATGCTCTCCACACTGTTCACATGTCTGCCATCTTGTATTGTGTTCCATTATAAAGCATTTTAGCTACTACTTTTTGTAAAACATTTTGGGTTGTACATTGTTATTTGTATTTCTAACTTTGTTTTAGTTTAGTTTTAAACCGAGGTTATCTCCAAACAGAGCTGTCTCCAACCTATAGCACATTAAATAGCATGTTTATTGTTTCTTACATGTCATCTATTTTAAGTGCAATATCTTATGAACAGATTGTTTTTATGGACATTAACGGCATGCACCCAATCAAAAGCTATAGCTAGTTTTATTGTTACAAAAGCCATCACCCTTGAGGTAAGCAATATCTTGAGTCATTGAAATGGGCAGGAAGGCATCAGTACCATTTTGAACATCAAAAATCTGATCATCAGAATCAGTCAAAAACAAGGAATTTACTTTGGGATATGGTGCAATAACAAGTGATAACATTAAAAATAGATAAAGGCCTGCATAACCATCCTAATACATGTACACAAGCACAATTTAGTGTTCTCTATATTTAACCTAGATTCAGGAAAACATCAATAAGATAAAACAGACAGTCACCAATGTATTGTTTGGCCCTAAATCAGGTTTGGTGCTGCACTATATATCAAAAACACCGAGAGGTTTTAATGTAGATTTGACAAATTCCCTGTGTAAATCTATACACATGTGAAAGACATTGAAGTGCAGAACAAAACAGGATAAAAACCAGGACTTGACGAGTACCGACTGGATTAAACTCAGAATTGGAGCAACAGCTCTGAACAGTAAACCTCGAACATTTGTGGGGAATATAAAGAATAGAAGATGGGTTGTGGACCAGATCAGAATGTTTGGCCTGATTTGTCCCTGAGGCCACAAGTTGAAAAAAAACTAAGTCCATAAAGTAGTGAATTATTCTAAAAGATATTTTAGGATGCTTCTGACATCCCAGCCTATGTTGCAAATAAAAACCTTGTGACCAGCTGGAAGCATTTTGAACTTCAGCTCAAATCGTGACAAACCCAAACAACAAATACAAAAAGATCCATTGTGAGTGGACTTTTATAACTTATTGTTCCAAAAATGAGAAAGATGACATGATTAGATCTGCGCTTTTGGACTGACCCATTTACAAATGTCGGCTTGCGAGAGGAAGCCAGGCTGACTTTACCCGCTAACTTGGCTCAGGTCTGCCCAGCGAATAGCCACAGTGTACAGGAACTATGTGCAGCTGTCTGCAAAACATCTGGAGCCAGTTTTATTTCACTCAACGTTTAATCCACATCACAATCATCCTAGTGCTTGGCGGCAAACACAGTCATCCTCTAAGATTTGGGCATTGGTCCGATTTATGTGGGACAGATCATCAAAGTGGGGGAGGAAAAGCATAAAACTGGAAAAATTCTGCTTTCTGGATTTACCTGTCAATAAACTCATCTCAAGTAGTGTCAAGTAGTTATGTGTACATATCAGAACTAAAATAGCTTTAATTTACTTCTGGCCGAGTGACAATAGACAAAAGTTAAAGGATGTAAATGAACCAAATGACCACATCAGCAGAGCTAATGAGTTCTTAAATAGCAGCTTTTCAACCACAGACGTCAGACCTTCTGACATTTAGTATATAACAAACAGTTCATTCAAGACAGTGGTTCTTGTTATAGTTTATACACCTATAAAATAAACATGGTTTAGGCTTGCAAATGTTATTGTTGACTTCATGGGGGATTTTGGTAGAGGCTATGGGTCATTTTCTGAGCCCAAGAAAGATCCATGAAACTATGACAAGAACTAGCCACCACACTTTCTTTGACGAAACTACAGTGCATTTTCTTCCTTCTCAGAGACTAATTATAGATATGTAAGGAATCAATTTCAGTCCTCTGCTATATCGGACTTTTAGTCTCCTGTCTAAAACCGTTATTGATTTGTGTATTTCAGTCAGACTCTTCATTTTGCTATCCACATTCACACTATTGGTGGCACTGCTTACAATGGGGCTGGACAGAGCAATGCTTGGTATTGTGGGGGAGGGGTGTGAGCTGAAGGTGAAAATTATGGCAAAATGATAGACATTTGATGGAAACGACTGACAGGTAAAAAAGGATAGCATCCTTAGTTCAAGGACTACACAATCTCTGCCTTAGAATGTTTTATGTTTAAAGAGAATGTGCGTGTGTGTGTGTGACACTTGAAATTCAGTTTATAAATAAATTAAAATCTGCTCTGTATGTTCTTGTCATGAAACATGTGAATGGATTCTGCATACTGTGCCTCTTGAGCGGCACATAATATATTGCAGAGCAGAAACATGTTGCCATGACAACAGGTTCTTGAATAACTGATTTAGGCCCTTGAAAGAACTGGTGGTTTAAAAGAGGCCAGGTATAAAGTAAAAGAAAATCCATCTGGACATTCAGCCGTATAACTTATCAGATGTGTCTGCAGCACTGGCCTTCTCCAAAGCTGTTTTACATCTGAAAGACCACACGTGTGCTCATTAGGCTGTGTTTACTCTGATTAATGCACCGCTTTGTTTGTTGTGCCATGTCATTCTGTTTGGAAAAGAGTCACGTTATCAAATGCACAAAAACTTCAAAGCAACATGTTCAGCTTGGTTAGAATGTAGGGCTTTTGCTGTGGGAGCTGCAGTGGAACAAAGATGTTCTATCCTTTGTTTAAAGGTGGTGTTTAGTGTGGGCTTGGCATCTACATCGTTTAGTCTGAATGATTCACCAAAATGTTAACCACTGACAGATGTGCTGAGTGAGCGTTTTTTCCACCTATGTCACACTAAATACTGTTGATCCACAAAATGATTTGAAACATTATTGTTGTAAAAATCAGGCCACTGAGATCTTCCTAATGCTAACTGAAGAGGTTATTTAATTGTGTGATGTATGTAGGCCATGTACAGTGTCCTATATCTGAATCTTGGGGAGATTGGGCAGACCACAGGGGGGATGCTGCCAGACATACCATCACATTAACGCTTTCACTGCCTCAGGCCTCAAATGCCAACGCACATGCCACTGAGCCATGCGCACCAGGCCTGCACCACACCCACCTTGCCGGGTAGAGACGTTCCTCTCGTTGGCCGCAGTGAGGACCACTTGAGGGTGGCTCTGCTCCAGGACAAACAGCTCGTCCTTGCCAACACGGCCGCTCTTGCCGGACTTCATGGTACCGGAGGGCCCAGAGGGAGCCAGGTACAGGCCGCTACAGTCTCTGAAAGCCACTTTGCCGGAGCGAAACTCCAACGTGTAGCCCGTGGTCTTGTCAGCCGTGGCCACCAGTGCGCCATCGTTGCGCAAGAAGCGGTTGTCGGAGGTTTGCAGGTGGTACCGCTGATCTCGAAACACCAGTGTGATCATGGAATCCACGCCCCATGGCACATCTCTGTCGATGGCGATCTCATCCACCTTGGAGCTCAGGTGCGCATAGCGTTTACGTGTCATGCTGAAGATGTTGACTTGTGGGTGCATGGCGATGTGCACGCTCCATTTCTCAGCCACAGACACGGTCTGGGCGAAGCAGATGATGCGGTCCTCGGTTCCGCCCAGGTACCGGCCGAACTGCTCAGACTGCAGCGACCAGCGGCCGTCATCGTGCGCAGTGATGATGAAGCGGCAGTCTGGGCCCGGGCTTTCGCTGTCCCCTGTCACGTTACCGTCTTTATCCGCGGCGATGTACCGGCCCAGATGGGACTTGAGGCAGAAGACGTTTCCATTGGACTCATCCCCGCTCTGCTCCAGAGTCCAGATTTGCTTCTTCTTCAGGCTGGACGCTGATGCGTTGATCTTGAAGCCAAAGGTCTCTGCGGTCAGATACTTGTTCCCACAGTTGATGAGACCAAACTGGATCTGCAGCATGTCGCTGGTCCCGTTGGCAGAGCCGTTAGTGGTCATGGTGCGTGTGAGAGCCGGTTGTGGAGGAGGATGCTGCCTCGCGTGCTTCTCTTTGTTTGTGAGTGTGCGCGCGCCGCCCCTCTCTCTGTGCGTGTCTCAGCAGCGCGAGCCCGCCGCCACAGCTGCAGCCTTTATAACCATCAGTGACGTAGGCTACAGGAGACACGCCCCCAACCAATACCTCCAAACTGCATGGACAAAACTTTTCCCTTCATACAAAACCATCAACCACCAAGATGTGTGTGCATAAAGCCTCACCTGCACTGTAAACCCTGACAAGTAAACTTTACTTGAAAAAACCTTGGATATAAATTGCATATTAACTTCACTTGAATTCCTTGAGTACATCCTTTACTTGATATTACCAAGTAAACTCAAGTGATTGCAATAAAGTTTAAATTTCATCTTATGATCCGACCGGGATTCGTACTTGCAACCTCGTAGTTCAATTTAAAGAAAAACCTTAGTGATATAGCCAAGCTTTAAATAAACTAACAATAAATGAGTAATATTTACTTACTGGGAAAAATCTATTTAAAATAACTTTGATATCTGAAGTACAGTTGAAGTTAGGGTTTACAGTGTGCCACCATGAAACAAGTATGAGTATTTTCAAGTCACAACAAATGTTTTATATTAACATGGCTTGATCCCTTAAAATGAATCTCATCACAGCATTCAAATCATGAGGCGGCACAGTGCACAAAGCCTCTTTCATGTCCACATCAGAGGCAGGAAAGACCCAGCTTTACAAACAAAGAGGCCAAACACATCGCACGGACATCGTCTCCTCCATATTACAGACAAATAGATTGTGAATCAATGGCATCTATATGAGAAAAGCTGCAAGTGTGGTTTACTGCGAAATAACATTATTATTAGATCTTTTTGCACAAATCGTGTCAGTGTATGTGTTTTGTCTTCAGCTGTGTCTGAACTCGGTTGCGGATTCACAATGAGGAAAATTAGTGTCATTGTGATTGATTATTTAAAACAAAATATATGAATGCTTCAATGGAAAACGGCCCTCACAAATGTTACATAAAACAGGAAGCTGGTGTAATCTGGTCTGAAACAGTAATCTAATGTAGCATGGGTCTCACTACAGCAAAATCCAATCTCCAGTGAATCTTCCACCAAATCACATTCTGCTTGTAATCCAGCTCCAGAAACACAGTTTAATAATGTTGACTCAAATGTGTTTGGAAATATCTGTGTGGAAACATATTTAATCAACACAGGAATCAGATGTCAAGTCTTTCTTTTATCTTAGTTCAGGGTGGGCTATGGGAAAATCTCGCAAAATGCAAACTAATATAGTATGGTTACAATTTTAACTGTTGTATTTGTTCAGGCCTTATCCTATGGCTCATTTTTCACACTCCTTCTCTGCAGGCAATTAGAAGATTAAGACATGGAATGAGGAGCACACAACACAAGATCAATGAGCAATAACTCTATACTAAATGAAATAAAAAATCTAATGATGGTACAAAAACTCTGGCTTTCATGTAATAAAGAAGTATATAATCTCTTCCTTTGGCATAATAAGAAACAAGTATAAAGTACTGTGTATTCTAAAGCAAGTAATATATAATAGTAAGTGTACATCTGTACATGTATAGCAGCCTGAGGGTATTGCAAGAAGAGCAACGGTGGACACATGTGTCTATATTCCACATTCTGACATTAAAGTTATTATTGCACAGATGAGTAAAGTGACAGTGACAGTGACACAGGTGGTTCTAAATTGAACATTAGTTCAAGATATTGCACCAGTGCATGCAGGTTGGCTGTGTTTAGAAGAGCTACAAAGTGATTGTGTGAAATTTTGTGCAAACAAATATACGAATATTATATAGCCAACGATTCTATATAACTATATGAATAAGTACATTGTAGTCTAGAAATGTACTGCTCATTTTTGTAGAGCTGTAATTTTGCCTAAAAAGACCACCCAGTCCACTCTTGTCACTTGTGTACATTCAGCAAGTGAGTGAAATGAGATTTGGTAGAAGAAAATTCGCTATATAAAAGGGTTTGGAGGTACTTGTTTCTCTTGGGGATCAGTTTTCCCATGTGCAACAACGAATGAAAGACAGTGTCCATACTTTTATTACCCCAAACAATCCTGGTTTGTCTGGAAACCTGCCTCAGCGCAGATTCCCCAAACCTTGGCCCCAGTTTCTCATTCCTACAATGCGTGCAAACATGCGAAAACCCCAACAGTCTGCTATCAAGGGAATCCCTGGAATTCATTACCAGTACATAATTGCATGAAATCTATCTACAGCAAAAAGTATTTTGTGCAGGACTCGTAGAATTCAACCTATACATGAATCTATACCGTAACAACTTAATTTGCAACGCTTTGCAAATCAGTCGACTGCAAATATCAACTGGTCATTTTTCCCTTTGTGGGCTGAAATGGATCGGTTACTTACCATGCAGCAAAGGTATTGATTTCAAATCCTTGTCGCCACATATATAGAATGGGGACATGGACCCTAATATTTGATATCACAAGAGTTTGGATTCGGGTTTCCAATTTGTTCCTCCAGTGAATTTTTTGTCATTTTGCTTTTGGATAATTGGCTCATGTAACATCTTACACTGACCCCGAAAATGACAAGATTAGCTCTTCTCATTAACCTACACCACAATGCCAGTCCAATAGACTGGTGAGGAGGGGGACGGACGGCTGCCATCTTTGTCCTCCCGTGGCTTTAAAGCAGTTGCCATGGTGACGGGGCTGGGGCCGGCTCTGGTGAAGGGCGAGGAGCGGCGCGTGCATCGCACACTGACACACTGACACACAAAAACCACTGCGGCTCAGCGTCAGGACACACAAAGATGGACCAATCACTGACCAGTCTCCATCACACACCTCTGCACTCCGACTAATCAAAGAGCACGATCGCATCTTCTTAAGGTCCTCCACCAATCAGTGGGCAGATTTATGCTGCGTCCAACCAGTGGCATTTACATACTGGGCCACTCACTCCATTAAAGTAAATGGGATCAGAGAGTTCAGATGGTTGAATAGTAGATTTCCTTATTGCATTGTCGCTGATGTCAATGGAATAAATTATTGCTCATAAAAAGTCTGAAATGGAACAATGATGGATTTAGAGAGGAACAGCCAAAGGAAAAGGGAGGATGGCGGTAAATCTCAGAGAGGAAAGAGAATATGAGCTGTGAAAATGAATGTGACAGTTCCACATTCGTGACACCTGTAGTGGGACCAGTATTCTTTGTGTTCCAATGTAGGGAGTGATAGACTGGAAACACTCTTTACACACTTTTACATATATTTAAATGGTGAGAAAATATGTTGTTGCTGTACTTTGTTATAGACCTTACATTTTGAAAAAAAAAACAAGTTTGTATTATATATAAGTAAGTGGGTAAGTTTATATACCGCATTTCACAGACCAGAGTCACAAAGCGGTTTACAATTGTTATTTTTAGGCAATTGTCTCACACTACACACAGAGAGATGGGAGCGAATCACTTCATACACATTTCTCATCTCTTTACTGGTTTAAAAAAAATCAGAATCAGAATCTTTTTATTGCCACGTGAGTAACAGGAAGTCAAATAGTCTAATATACCTTGAGATCTGTGATGGCAAGCGACTAGTATTCATGCAACCCTGCCTGTGTCTATTCATATGTCATATGTCCCTGTTCCAGGAAGGAGCCGGGCCCCCCCCGACACCTACAGACAATGGCGCAAATCACTGTCCTCCCTTTCGCCTCTTGCATATCTATCGGTCTGTATGTGTGCATCTTCTACGTCCTGCTGTCTGTCACACCCTTGTGTCTTCCGTGTCTTGCATCTGTATGACCTGCATTTAGACCATTGTCTGTCTGTTCGCACCTCGTTCCCAGACGGCGCCAAACGCTCCCCATGCGCCTCCTCACCGGTGGCCCCCTCCAATCTGTTGTGGGCGGGACTGTCTCTCGTGTGTGTCTTGTATACAGGAAACTTGGGGCTCTGCCCTCAGAGCTGGGACATGCTGCCTTTTGAGTGTATGTGTTGGCTCTCCGCACGTGCGTTAACAATAAACTTACGCTTTTGATCAGACAAAGGACCTTTGAGTTTTCTCCTTCATGGGGTATATAATTCCTTAACAATTTGGCGTTGCTGACACGTTCTTGTTGGATTTTTTTTTTTTTCGGCGTGGAGACGACTCGTGTTGTTTTGGCCAAACCTGGGACAAAGGACCAGCCTCCTACCTCACTTAGTGTTTGACGAGAAGCAGGGGGGACACGACTCGGCTCGCGCTGGAAAAACTATTCGACTACAGGACCATAAAAGAACCTAATCTGGTGAGTTTTGTCTTTTCATCTGCGTAACGAGCCCAGGGCAGCCCTTAAGTCGACACGGGGATTTGTTTATTTACGTATTTTTGGGGTATTTCATTCATTGCCACAGCATAGTCTGTGTGCGGGATTTGTATTGTGTTCTAGATTGAAACTAGCGGCTGCGTGGTAGTAAATCGCTCTGTAAGCGACCCTGATAATTTCTCTGAGTGCCTTCAGCCAGGCCCGGTTCGGTCTAAGAACGCGCGCTCGTTGGTTGAACCAGCGAGGGGGGAACGAACCGCTCCAAAGCGAGTACAGAGCAGGGAAGAGACTACACGGGTTAGGTCCATTGTTCCATACGTGAAAATGGGGAAAAATCAATCTAGAGATGCCACGCCGCGGGGAATGTTGACGTCCCCCGTTACTATGGCTATGGAAAAACGATTCGGAGCTAAAGCTAATGAATGCTTGCCTATATGGTGTAGTTCATTCGGTTTTCCCGACGGAGGGAGCATGTCTCTAAATCAATTACGCATTTTGCGTGATAATTTAGAAGAAGAAAAGGAAAAAATACTTGGTTTTAAGAAAATTACAGCAGAAGATGTTAGGGCTATACTGAAACACCAGACCTGTCTTGCCATGTGGGAGGATTTAGCTACAGAACGGGACCGCAAAAAGACCAATAAAGCCATAGCTGCTCCACCTTCCACGGAAGGGGGGGACGCACAGGCAGGCACACAGGCAGACACACACACACACACACATCCCCCACACCCCCCACACCCCCCACCATACCGCCCCTTCTCACCTACTAACCCATTCACAGAAGGAGCAGAACTCCATGCTAAGTACGCGCCCAAGCAGAGCGCTGTTTTAAAAAATGTACAGACTACTGTTGTCCCCTCTCTCTCCCTCTACCCAGATTTGTCTACGCTTTCCTCCGTGGCCCCGCTGTGTGAAACCGGCCCCTGTCCTCCCAAAACACCGCCGCGCCAGAGCCAACCACGTCAGTGCCTCCCAAAGCCTCTCGCATCTGCTGATGCCGAAGGACTTTTACCAGAGGTGGCTTTAAAGGTGCGGGACTCGTATGTCGCATTTGATGAATTACTTATGCACGCGAAACATGCAATTTTTTGTTTGGAAACATTGAAAAGCCAGGCTACACTGCTGTCGGTCCAAACCCCTAACTCCGTAAACCCCAATGACATTTCCAAAAAGGACAAAAAGGGATGGGAGAAAAACAACGGAACGTGGACATGCTGGAACTGTGGAAAAGTTGGCCACAGGGCAAGAGACTGTCGCAGGCGGCGGCAGGGCGGCCAGCAGCAGGGCGGCCAGCAGTACCAGTACCAGCAGCAGAGCGGCCAGTGGCAGCCGCGGCAGGGCGGCCAGCAGCAATGGCAGCAGAACCAGAACCGCGAGCCGGACCAGTACCAGCAGCAACACCACTGGCACTAGGCACAACAGCACCGCTATGAAGGCCCACAACACGGCAACCACCAGATGCGTCACGAGGCGGACTGACTAGGCGGGGACAGACAGCGGGCTGGCGGTGAACACGGCGGAGCCACGAAGGAAACCGTACGGGAGACTCATCTACCGGGTAACGCACACATACACGTCACCGAAGCGATCACTCATCTTTCACGTAAGTTTGAACCAACTGCAATCGGCACGTACACATTTTTTTGAGAAAATTCATGCTAAATTCCCAGAACATACGCTAACAATCTGTGGCGAAAATGTTACTTTTCTAGTTGATTCCGGGGCAACAAACTCTGTCCTAAAAAGTGACAGCCTTTCTGTCTCCCCTAAAATGAGTGGCCGCTTCACATTCTCACTAGCAGCGTCGGGAGAGACGACCAAAGAGCAATTTACGTCACCGCTAACGTGTTTTGATTCTCAGGGCAACCAGCTTAAACATTCTTTTCTATATTCCCCATTGTGCCCGGTTAATCTACTAGGCCGAGACCTTATGTGCAGACTCAATTAAAAATAGATAAATAAAAGGAGGCACCGGTCCCAAAAGTTAATTACCACTGGAAATTGACACCAAACCCTGAGATTGCTAAGTTATTAGCCACGACAGTGGATAGAGTTACGCCCGCACAAAATTTGGAGGTCAACCACGCGAACGACCTAAGCTGCTCTCTCCGGTCGTTCCCAGACAATAACTTAGAGTTTGAAAATTCATGGCTTCAGTGTAGTGAAGATAGGCTACAAACGGAGTATGTTTATTGGGATAGGCACCACGCTATGGTATTTGTGCTACTTAATGAGCAACAAAAACATTTTTTATCGTGAAACAAAGGTGAAGTATTAAAGTTTGAGACTAATTTACATTTTTAATGAATCCGACCTGGCTTTATTGAAAAAGAAAAAAAATAAGGAAAATAAACATTTTTTTTAGGTGACAAGAGCTCATTAGAGATATAGGGGACACAATCTGTGATAAGCCCGAAGTATAGACCACGTGGTAAACACTAAAGTTGGAAATGGATCCTTTTAGGAAAACTCTTTTAAAGCTCTGCAGGCTCTGAAAGTTGCAACAATAAGAAATAGCTCATGAGACAATTGGAATTGGACATGGAAAAATATAACAAAGCTAAAAGTACAGGCCTTCTGTGTGTGTTACATGTTTGTGTGTTATATGTTTTGTGTATGTTATATGTTTGTGTGTCATGTCAAAGTACACTACGCTGACCTTAACAAACTCTGGACAAATATACTAACGTGGGGAGGCGGCCTGTGTGAGTGATGTGAGTGTGGAGTGAAATGAGGAATGCTGAACGGAATCATGGAATAACAAATGTGTCTGTAATGTTTTAATGTGATCATGGAATAATTCTTTTTTTGTCAACAGCATACGGTGTAAGTACTAGAGATTCAAAGATAACGACCTTTATTGAACAGGTGTAAAAGTGAGAGTACTCTGGGATGAGTACTCTGAGAAAAGTACTCTGCGGAAAGTACTCGGAGATGAAATACCTCGCTGAAGATATTGGGAGTTCCTCCCTCTGCTGTTTGCCCTGACAGTGATTCGGTCCAACCGCAGTGAGCGGTCATTGGGCGGAGGACAACTTTGGTTTGTAAACTCACATTTAGGGGAGTATAAAATTAGAAACATACATTTTGTTGTTCTGTATTTGGCTACAGCCTCCGCCCTGATGCCACACACCGTCTGTCAATGCAGTTATGTTTTGCCCAATTGGAAAAAAGATTGACAAGCGAAAGTGGGCATTTTTTGTGTTTTTTTTGTGTTCTAATATTTCTTTTTCAGATGAGAGATAAACTACCCCTGCTCCAGGGATGACAGTAGTATGGATCAGGAGGAAATGAGCCTCCACTTTGGCACAAAAGCCCACAATATGAATTAAGAACGATCCGGGAGAAAAGCAACTGGAGATGAACGGAACAGCAAATCTACACACACACACTAGGTCTCCCTGACCCAACGGCCATTCACTCAGACCGTGGATGAGCGATGTGGGTGCATGGTGTCGGTACTTTTGCAGTCTCACGGAGGGCCACTGAGACCCACTGCTTACTTCTCAGCAAAACTCGATCCCGTGGCAGCAGGGTTGCCTCGCTGCCTGCGGGCTGTGGCTGCCGCTGAGAAAGCGGCCCTAGCATCACGTGACCTTGTGGGATACACTGAACTAACTTTGCTTGTGCCCCATGCTGTTTCCCTGATCCTGTTAGAGCAGAGGGCCTCTCGCCTTTCTGCGGCTCGTTGGCTGGGGTACAACACGGTGCTCTTTGAACTACGGTGAAAAGATGCACACAGCTGAACCCCTCCTCGCTGCTGCCCACGCCATAGGAAGGGGAGGCACACTGCTGTATCGCCACAATAGAACAGAGATGCACTCCCAGGCCAGACCTGAAAGAGGTGCCTCTGACTAATCCTGACTTGATTTTTTTTATACAGACGGAGCCGCGTCACGTGACAACACTGGGAAGAACCGAGTCGGCTATGCTGTGTGTTCTGATTTTGATATTATAGACTCTGGTAGTTTTCCCCACTACCATTCAGCACAAACCGCTGAACTGGTCGCGCCCACCGGGGCTTGTGAGCTGGCAGCGGGCAAAACTGTTAACATATTCTGTGATCTGATGGTAAACCAATTCTTAATTCCACACAGGTTGAACGTCTGCTGAAAGCTGTAATGTTGCCCTTAGAGATCGCTGTATGCAAATGCCAGGCCCACACTAATGCCACTGATCCCATCTCTGCAGGGAATCGGCGCGCGGACAAGGCAGCGGCATACGCACCTCTACACACACACACACTACCTCACTCAAGACGTTGATATTTTCTACTCCAGCAGAGACGCTGCTGTGGGAGGGGAATGGGGCTCAACGACGGCATGGTGTGTGTGGCTGGGACCAGACAGCAAACCGTGCCTACCACGGCATTTCTTCAGACAGTTTGCAATTTTAGCACATGGTCGAGACCATGCCTCAAAAGGAGGGATGATGTGTGATTTAATCACACAAAATTGGTATACAAAGGGGTTTACGGCATTTGCACAGAGATTCAGCCAAACATGCGCTATATGCCCCGCGCACAACCCAGGTAAGTCCCAAAAGTATCCAACAGGCTGCTCATCCTCCGCCCCTGCGCCCATTTCAACATGTCCAAAGGGACTTTGTTGAACTCACACCATGCCAAGGTAAGTAATACTGTCTGGGTCTGGCGGATCTCTGGTCCAAATGGACTGAAGTATTTGCAGGCATACACGCCACGAGCAACGCGGTGGTGAGTCACTTTGTAGCAAAAGTCATTGAGGAAGTGGGTGAATTTCTGGGCATTGATATACGTAAACACTGCAGTTACGCCCCCTGGTCCGGAGGCACGTGCGAGCGAGAGAATGGCACTCAAAGCTCTGCCGCTAGCCCCACGTTGGGCGCGGGACCCCCGAACAGAGATCTGCCAAGCACCTCTTTGTGTGATGACGACATGCTGTCCTATTGTAAGGAAATTAATGCACTTTTGTCTCTCTATTTCTGCCCAGGTCAGGAGCGCCCTGCCACAGGCTGCGCAGGCGACTGGGTCCTGATGAAGGAAACGAGACGAAAGCATTGGCGGTCCAAGCGCTGGCTCGGCCCATTCCTCGCCCTCCTGGTGACGGACACTGCCGTTAAGGTCGCGGAGAGGACAACTTGGATCCACGCCAACCACTGTCGTGCGGTGCTGCCACTGAGGGCCATAGACGAGGACACCGAGGGCGCGGACGGACCAGGCCCATCCGCGGCTCCCTACGCTGAAGAGGTTGGCCGGCGTGCGGCCACCATCGGTGAAGCAGGCCAACAACAACACCCAGAGAATCCCAGCGTTGCCGAGGCAACCCCCCTTTGCCCAACTCCCCAGCCCCCGGACCCCAAGGCCACACCCCAAACCCCGAGCACTCTGCCCAACCGAGTGCTGAGGCCAAGGCTTCAACGCAAATAGAGTCTTGCCGCTCCAAGACCAAACATCGCCATGACCACTAACGCTCCACACACGCTCATAGGGAGCGGTGCCACTGACTGCAAGGCGGCACTGTTCGACCGGCTGGTCCTGGACCACCTGACCGCGTCTGTGGGAGGCGTATGCACGATCATCGGGTCGTCCTGCTGTACATATATTCCGGCCAACGATGAGGACGGAGGTCTTATCCAACAGGGCATAGCCAATCTGACTAGACTCCGGGACGCCATGCAAGCGGACAATGTCACGGACACTCCTCACGGTCTGGACTGGCTCCTGTCCTCCTGGCGAAGTGTGCTCATTAATCTTGGTTTAGCCCTATTGACCGTTATGATTTTATTTTCATGTGTATTACCCATGGTGTTTCGGGCCGTTGGTAAAATGATATCCACTCACTTTGTGTCCATTCAACACAGAGACCCTGAGGCGGACCTGGCCGCGGTCCCACTGAACTCCGATCCTGATTATATCAGCGATTCGGACGACGACTTTGTCTAACGTTTTTCTTTCTTGTTTACTTTGTTTTTATTTTTCCACTTGTTCCGCCCACAATTTAGGGGGAGGGTATCACAGCGAAGAGCTTTGACCACACCCCCGTAATACAAGAGGCTTGGGTGACGGCGGCGTAACCTGCCCATCAACAACTCTTCTTTTACTCAGGGGCCAAGGTCAATACTCACACACCTGAATGTGATCTCTGTAAAACTGGGGTTTTTACATTATCACGGGAAAGGAGTGTGATGGCAAGCGACTAGTATTCATGCAACCCTGCCTGTGTCTATTCATATGTCATATGTCCCTGTTCCAGGAAGGAGCCGGGCCCCCCCCGACACCTACAGACAATGGCGCAAATCACTGTCCTCCCTTTCGCCTCTTGCATATCTATCGGTCTGTATGTGTGCATCTTCTACGTCCTGCTGTCTGTCACACCCTTGTGTCTTCCGTGTCTTGCATCTGTATGACCTGCATTTAGACCATTGTCTGTCTGTTCGCACCTCGTTCCCAGACGGCGCCAAACGCTCCCCATGCGCCTCCTCACCGGTGGCCCCCTCCAATCTGTTGTGGGCGGGACTGTCTCTCGTGTGTGTCTTGTATACAGGAAACTTGGGGCTCTGCCCTCAGAGCTGGGACATGCTGCCTTTTGAGTGTATGTGTTGGCTCTCCGCACGTGCGTTAACAATAAACTTACGCTTTTGATCAGACAAAGGACCTTTGAGTTTTCTCCTTCATGGGGTATATAATTCCTTAACAGATCCCAGTACCACAGTTTGTTGCTTGCTCTCTGTCTGTGGGACCCACTTGCTAATGACCTACTATTTCAATATTCTTACACTGCATTATTGATTTATCTTACACCTAAGTACCTACTATTTCACTCTTGGTACACTATAATACAGATCTACAGATGTATTTATTTCTTTGCACTAGAGCAGTGTCTCCCAAAGTGGGGTCCGCGGCCCCCTGGTGGGCCGCGAGGGTACTGCAGGGGGGCCGCGGGAGGTCATAAAAAAAAAATATATATATATATATATAATTATTTAATGTTAAATGTATAATGTTTTGTTTGTAATATTAAAATATTTGTGTTCATTATTTGACTTGAATAATCCACTGTAATCATTTTTGTATTACAATGTTTGTAGCAGAGGCTATTTCCCCAAAATAAAAAAACCAGAAGAGCCTATTCTTAATGTTGTCTTCTTGGTTATTATTTTGGGGGGCCACGCAGACCCGTCAGATTTTTAAGGGGGCCTCGGTGTTACTGAGTTTGGGAATGGCTGCACTAGAGTATACAGGTTTATACCTACTTATTACTTATTTTTTAAGCTAAAGATTGAGATTTGATTTGAATTGTTTTAAGAATTGTGCAATACTTAAAAGTATATAGAATGATTTTCTACTTCTGGGTGGATCATCAAGACTATTGGTCCTCCCAATTGCTGATACTTGCTTGTCAAATAAGACCAGAGAGTTTTGTTCAAAAAGTGGGGAGAGCGGTTCTTTCCTAAAATTTGGGTAAAACCGCCTATATACAATATACACAACATATATAATATATATATATAGTAATTATTCACTTACACCATAACTACACCATCCTTTGTATGCTGCTTTTAACTTGTTACGTCTTAAAATATACTTCTTTCTTGTTATGTAAGGTGAGCTTGATTATCTAGAAAGGTGCTTTAATAAAGGTGCACTTTTATTGATCCCCGTTGGGCAATTCATTCTCTGCATTTGACCCATCCTAATGCCGCTAAGGCTCAAGTCAGGAGCAGTGGTCGCTGTAGTACAGTGCCTGGGAACCCATCTCTAGATGTTGATGCTCGGCTTGGTCAGGACTACCGGAGCTGGAGGATTTAGTGTGTTTTAGTGGTAGGGGAAACCGGAGTACCCAGAGGAAACTTATGTAAGCACATGGAGAACATGAAAACTCCACTCAGAAAGACCCAGTTTTGACCGGGATTCAAACCCAGGACCTTCTTGCTGAGAGGCGAAAGTGCTATCCACTCAGCTACTGTGCAGCCCAAAATAAACAATAAAATTATTCACACTCGCTAAGATCTAATGTATATTATCTTAGCGAGAAATGCTCTATTTTTGTTGGTCAATTCCTCTCTCAAGTTCAAAATTGGGTAATTTCCTAAATTGAGCACAAATCTCCATTATGGATCAGCAGCTTACCCTTTATAGAGGTCACGATGCATGTCTTTTCTGCAGCATTAACCTACATTTTCACTGCTGCGTCCCATGCCAGTCTTATCTTGTGATGCAGTGGTCATGCTGGTCAGATGATGTCCCAGGTAAATGGACAGGGAGCATTAGTTCCATTTGAAAAGATTTGGTGACGCCCTGTCGTTAAGAGGCTCCCCGGAGGCTCCAGATGCTTCAGTATTGATTGTATTGATCAGAATAATGGCAGCACATGCTTAGGAACGAGTGCCATCTTTTCTTTTTCTTTGCAACGCTTGTTAGGTTCGCATTACTGGTGAAATACGACGGCATTTCAAACCACTCTCCTTTCTCCCTCTGCAATTTACTTGATGATCTTCTACCATCAAATGTTGAAAATCAAAATAAAGATGTAGCCTTCTTATTCCCAGTCAAATCAAACATTGTGGGATGAATCGGCATCAGGTTGAACTTCTGAAATTACTGCTGATTACCCTCCTCCCCTCTGCCCTTTGCATTTGCACCCCCCTTTTTTGGCCTATCTCTACCTGTTTGTATGTTGGAACTTGTCCTCACATTTGTTTTAATACTGTCGAAAATTGACAGACTTGACAGACTCGGGTTCAGAAGCACACATGCCGTGAATCAAAAGAGAGCATGCATTATAAAGGACAATTTTACGTCACATCAAAAAAATTGTATTATAGTCACAACAACAGATGCAAAGCGGAAGTCGGCATGACCTGATCACTACATGTTATGTCTGCATTTGTCCATTGTGTGAAGGTCATCGTTCACAATACTAAGCATGCACGTATTTTTTCAGTTTGTGTAGGTAAATGTGTATAAGAGATTCTTTATTCATCCGACAGTGGGGACATTTATGTGTTGCATCACAAGTTAAAGAAGTGTAGGAAAGAGGAGCACACAGCACAAGATAAGTGAACAATAGCTATACTAATTAAAATAACACAAAATCTTTAACTCTAGCGTCAATAACAAGTGTAAAATCTCTATATACTGTATGTTAAATGTATGCTTTAGTTTAATAATTGAAATAATAGAAAATGCACTCCACACTCACATGTAGTTCAACACATTTGTAATAAAAAGGTTGATAGGGATTTTAAATGTAGTCTGCTGGGACCTTATTGCTTTATAACACGTCCATATATATCTAATTTTCAGTGACAGTTTCTTCATCTGTGAAAGGGGAATTCTTAAAAACAGTTGTCTATTCTACAGTCTATTAAACCCAATGCTCAGAGACCTGCCAGACTTTATACATTTCCAAAGAACAGCTTTCTCTGCACAGTGTAAATTAGTCACTCGAGGCAAAATTGTCTTACAGTAGTTTCACATCATTTACAAGGACCTCGCCCATGCAAAGAGGGACAAAAGTAAAAAATAGCTTGACTTATGAAACATGTTTCTTAATGGTTTTTCCGAGATTTCCTTGGAATGAGGCATACATGGAAACAAAGTCATTAGGAGCCAGAGCGAGTTGGAGCCATTCCCCATTGGGCTTCATTGAGCTAGGGTGTTAGCATTTCCCATCTATACACAGTCTATGGCTACATAATGTAAAAAGCCTCATATATATTTTACAGATACTATTTTTACAGCCCACCTTTTAAAGTGGTGCCAAACCCATCACAGGGGCTCTGTTTACTCACATTAGATGCTGCCAGTCTGTGAAGATCACTAGTTGCTGTTATCTTAGCTCTGTATGGTCAATGTTTGAACACTTCACCAGAGAATTCCTTTATCTGAGAAACGCCAAAGGTCAAACTCACAACACATGGATGGAAGAGATGTGTTTCATGGAAAAGTTTGTTTATTGTTTTTACTGCATAGAATTAACTTTTTGGATGACTATTTGGAGTGAGAGTACAGTTAGTAAAACTCTTATTTTCTTGCAAATGGAAGTGTTATTTGTTTAGGCCGACTTGCAAATATAATGGAAACCTAATAAAGGAGAATGCAACAAAAGACGTGGTTCGTAAAGTGTAGATTGGCAGAGGAAGGGCACAACGTGTGTAATTTTATAAGAAGCATTTCAGATCCTCAAAACCATACAATACAATACAATACAATTTATTCTTGTATAGCCCTAAATCACAACAGAAGAAATCTCAGAGGACTTAACAAAACCATTGAAATCATCAACACAGATCAGAGAATCAACATTTAAAACACATAAAGAATATAAAACACATGTTAAAAAAAAAAATGTCCATACATGTTGTAGAATGTTAAAGTGGCCTGGATCATCACCAGACCCTCCTGCATCGGCAATGAAAAACATGCCGTTGTAATACTGGTATTAGGAGAAGCAACTTGCTCTCTCTATGCTCCTCGTAAATGGAACGCTCGGCCGAAACACATCATATTTTCTCCAACGTTGGGCAAGTGTAAACTCAAGACTGGTTTGTTCAAATTTCAAGTCGAATTGTGTCTTTACTAAAAAATATTCCATTGTGATTTCATGCACTGTCTATCTTGGTTTACCACACTGAGCTACATTGTTTGTTTGTTTTATTTGCTATACAAATAAATCAGGCTCTTACTTGTGTCTATTAAACGATAATGTATGTTTTGCCCAACCCAACACATATATATTGTTCTCCCTTTTGTCTTCCCAATTCATTTTTCACACAATGCCGAGACAACGTGAATGGGTATTCTTCCTTGTGTAATGTCTTGGACCACTACTTAGCAGCTATCTTCAGTCTAATTAAAATTCCTTTTATGATATCCTTATTGTTGTGGTGTTTCCCTGACTGCTGTGTCTTGGTGTCCAGAAGAATGCGAGGCACAGCTGCTCCCCTCTTTGGCCTCCTCAGACCTCCTCTCCAGCGCACAAAGAGCTGGAGCTGATGTCACTGGGACAAACCACTCTCCCCATTCTCCCCTCGGCCCCGGGGTCAGAGCTCATCCATGTGTGTGTGCCGTGGGGGGGCTTTCTCTCCCTTATTGTCATGGCAGCAGTCAAAGCAGGCGAAGCAATATCAGTGGCAAAATGAGTGCTATTTTTCAAAGTATCTAATGAAAATGTCTTCCTGACTGGTTTCCATTTAACTTCAGATTTGATTTCTAAAGCACAGAATCTAAAGGCATTCATTTGAGTGCCTTTTAGGATTCATAAAGCTATAGTTTAAGATTGTAGTAATGGCAATACTTCCTACTTACTTCCTGTTTTTAGAAGTTAATACTAATTAATTACTAATTACCTTAAACTCAGTGTGTAAGATCAAAACGTGATCCTCCTGGTGCCATCTCGCTTCTTCAACTCTTCATATGAATTTTCAGTGTTTATTGTGTCACTCTCAAACGGGACACTTCTTGAACTATTTACAAACAAAGAAAACGTGTATAATCAAATTAAAAGTGAAATGATCATTTAAAACATGTGAAAGTATTGTTTTGAAATGACACTTTAGACAAACAAAAAAAGCAATGGATGGATTTGTTTTTATCCTGGCTTGCATAGACGAAGCAAAAATGCCTCCTTTGCCTAAAGGTAGAGTTTAGGCATTCCATCCATCCATCCATCCATTTTATCATTTTCTGCAGCTGGTGAGTCCACAGGAGCTGAGATCTTTCAGTGGGCTTCAGGCAAAGTAGGGTTAAGTGTCTTGCTCAGGGAACGACAGCAGACATCAGTGGGAGTTGTGAAGTAGGTTTATGGTGGGCTCAGACCCATGACCTTCAGACTCAAAGGCCAATGCTCTACCAACTGAGCCATTGTCGCCCTGAGATAGACACTCACAATGATGATAATCTGCTCTGCTTGAAGTCAGGGAGTGTGGAAACAAAATAAATAAATAAAAATATATAGAGAGGGACAGAGATAATTTGATTTGTGCTTTACGTGTAGAATCATATTAATGTTATTTGTATTTTGTGGAGATGAATGATATTTGCTGATGTGGCTATTGAGGCTGTTGGGAAGCTGGTACTCGTTGGCCACTGTGGCATTGGTTTCATCCATCCATCCATCCATCCATTTTCTTCCCCTTAATCCATTTCTGGGTTGGGGGGGTGGCAGTCAGAGCTGCACCCAGTACACAGAGCACCAGCCCCTCATTGATCCTCCTGCAGGTGGTGAGTCCACAGGAGCCTTGGTTTCAATGAATGAAAAATAATGGTAAATTGTGTAGCATTATTTTATGTTCTCAATTGAAAAATATAAAAACAAAAGAAATTCAAATCAATGCAACCATGTAAGGTGGATTTAGGTATATGGGGTTATGAGTTTTCTTAACACTACATTTTGGGCTTTGGCAGGAGTGAAAAAAAGAAATCCCTAAAATGTTCATGTATTTTCGTATTATGTATCAGATGTAAATGCTGTAAATTACACAACTTGATTCCTGTTTCTGAGCTAGAAATAAATATATGAAAAAAAAATAGGTTCACCAACCTGTTCCTCGTATCTCTTTACATGTTGGATTTGGTTGATAACAGCAGTATGGATTTACAATGTCGAGGAATCATTATATTTATTATATTAACACAAATATGTATTAACTGCACTTCTCTTGTCCACTGCACTATTCTAGTCCACTGCGCATAGATATTTTGATTGGCATGCAGATATAGGTCAGTGGTGGTGGAGGAGGGGGGCATATCTAGGGGGTGGACTGTGGGATGTGTGTCACGTCTGCCCTCTTCTCATCTCTCATCGCCCCATTCCTCCTCTGTCTTTGGGAGTTGTAACCAAAGCCTCTTCCAAGGACGTTACAATGCATCGCACAGCAGTTGTTGTCATCGATTGCCCTCCTTCACCCTCTGACTACAGGGAAACTCAATCAGTAGTACCACACTATTAATACCACTGTTTTCCTGCCCCTTGCTGAGGCCATGACATCACATCCTGCGGTAGTGAGTGAACCCCACTGGGATCTGGATATCCCTTTCCCCTCTCATATCCTTCCACATAATGGAATTACCTGTTTGATCCAGGCTGCAGTGTGTTTGTGCACCAAAATAATTCCAAAACAGCATAACTTGGCAATTGCAGTATATTACAGGACACATCAACACAGACCTAAGACAGTTTCTACAATTGCATTCACTAAACTACAACCACAGCTTGCCTTATAGTACTTCTTCCACACAATCGACATGAACAAAGATCACTACAATCAGACTCCTAGTGTTTTCTGTGGCAAAAAGAACTCTCTAGCTCCCCCATCTGGCCACCACGTCTCACTGCGCTTCTCTCTTCTTGCACTACTGCAGAGCCACCACACATTTTACCCCTGCACACCAAGCCTCTCTCTTCCTCCCATGACAAACAAAATCAGATGAGATCATGGCAGGTGCTACTAACACTTCTCCCCCGAGTCTCTTATTTCCTGTCCTTTTCCGCAGACCCCCTCAAATCCTCCAGAGCCCACCCCAGTCCCGTCACACCCTTGGCGCTCTCATCTTCTTTCTCTTCACGGTCAATCAGCAGTTTTACATACTAATGACAGACCCTCGTGCTGCAAAGATGTGGGGGGCCCCTATGGATCGGCCTTTTTGGACAAACACATGGGGACACTGCCAAGAGCGGCAGCTGTGCTCCTCTGGACTCTTGTTACACTCATGGATGTGGGCTTGTATGTGGTCCACACCCTGTCCATCTTAGTTCAAAGTGTCTTCAGGATCTGGCATTTTGTATTTTAGGCTTTGATATACATAGTATAATGTAAAATACATACAATCCACCCAATAATATATTTTGACTTTGATGACTTTCTGCACTAGCATACACTGAAAATTGAAATGCTTATGAGTTGGCTAATAAACAATACGGGTAAAAAAGATGTATAACATTTACAAAAATAACACGTCCTGAAAAGTATTTGCTTAAACACATGCATAGAAACTCCTCATAATTGTATTTCGTATTTTATTTATTTGCAATGGGACATAGTGTATAATTATGTATATATTGCTTTTTCTATGTGTGTGTGAAAAATCCTGGACACACAAAATTTAGAGAAAAGTCCAAGTAAAGTCAAATACATTATAGAGATTATGCAATTTCCTTTTTATTCCTTCAATACATTGACAATTATTGAATAGGTGCCATTCTGGGCAAATTCATTCATGGAGACACTTATACAGGGCACATACAATACAAATATGTCAATACATGAGAATGACAATGTTGAAGATTTGAATGCATTACCAGATTTCTCCACAGTTGCAGCATGGTGTGCCTCTATCTGCAGATTCACAGAACTGCAACTCACACATTCTGGAATCCTTTCAACTTACCCCTCGCAATGTGACCTATTTTACACCAGGGCCACGCCTGCATAGCATAAAACATACAGTAATTTCCTCTACACAGATGGAAAATTCACCATCATGCCCTACTTTTTGAGCATTTGTTCTGGATTCACAGCATCAGTTTTGGACGCAGTTGACCCCGCCTCTTAGAATATGTGACCTTTTCAAGCCATCTTTCTAAATTATTCAGTCTGAACGCAAACTCCCGTTTCCAAATTTTGTGAAAGTGCATTTAGTGGTTTTCTTACACATGCTGTTCAATTATTTACGCTCCCTTAGAGTCATTTCTGCATCAAATCTTAGCCTGCCTTTGCCCTGATATGATACAGCTGTAATCTATAATGTATATCACGCCTGCTTCTTTTATATAAGTTAGCATGTAGGGAGACTGGGTCTCTGGGAAAATGGGACAGCGGGATTCTCTTAGAGTGTCTAACCCACCGGCGAATGTTAGCGTTGCCAGAGAAACGGGAATAACATTAGGGGAGTTGGCTCGCGGCTCTCTGTGTCACTATCGAGATATAGAGAGCGTCCCTGAGCTCCTTCACTCTAGTCCTTATGTAACTGCTTACACTTATCTGCTAATCCAAGTTATCTATCTGACTGTCTGTAAACCCACTCATGAAACATTGTCACAATGTTAATGCAGAGAATGCATACAAATACGGCCTTTGGTGGAAGTTCCTCTCTTATTCTCCCACTGGATTTTTGAGTTTTCCTAAAGGCAGTGATAATCCAGGACATTTATGGGCACATATAAACATTTATGGACATTGGTCATCCATTCCCTTTTATTACCCTATGTCTTATTTACATTTGCATTTCCGGTGTTCTAATTGTTTTATTCCCTGATCTGTTGTGGCCGAATTAAAAATTTTTTAAAGTCCCTGCATTGCTGTTGTGATTTATGGTCATACAAAAATTATAATTAAATTAAAATTATATTGAATTCTCCACCGACTCCCACTGATGACTGCTGTCGTTGTGTCCTTGGGCAAGACACTTAACCCCACTTTGTCCAAAGCCCCCACTGAAAGATCAAGGCTATGCTCACACTCAGAGCAGCCGTCCTCCTGTGGACTCACCACCTGCAGAGGGTCAGTGAGGGGCTGGTGCTATGAGACTTGGGTAGCATCTCTGACTGCCACCCCCCTGACCCAGAAATGGATTAAAAGGTAGAAAATGGATGGATGGATGGATGGATGAAAATGAATTAATTTATTTGTTGCCGTTAATAGCTTTTTGCATCGTTATAGTATTAGTTGAGAGTTCTTTTTTGTTTTAGCTGTTGAAACAGTGAAATAAGCTGCAAAAGAACATTAAATGTTTTGAGGATGAGACTATTATGCTGATTTATTATGTGTTGTTGTCAGATTTGTAATTGTATTCATTACTTTTCTTCTAAACTTTACTGATTGAGAAAGAGAAATAACTCTGTGAGAACAGGTACAACCTTATCAGGCAGGTACATGCTTCCAGGTGAGCGCCTCCATATAAGGCAATAGTGTTCACTCTACCTGACACTTTGGACCATTCACAGCACAGAGAATCGCCTACCTGTCCAAATCTTCCTTTCAGTTTCTGGAGGTAAAAGGTTGCCTAAAAAGGTTGTGTCCAAGTTGCCCATGCAAAACATAGGTTACACAACTATGGA